ATATATATATATATGCCATTTGTTTTCTATTGGATAAAACAATGTGTAAAGTATTATGGAATAATCCTACTGATTTATGTAACAAAATTGATTTTAATAAGGTTAAAGTATTGAAGAATATAGACCTACTGCTTATATTTTATTGGATAAGAAAATATCTAACAGTGTTTAGGAATTATATGTCTTTATTCATTTAGGCCTATATCATGTATTCTATAGAATAAGGCAATGATGTATTAATTAATAAGGAATATTCATTAACTCACCGAAATTATGTAAAGACTATTCCATCGGAGTAAAATGTGCAATTCTGTCATTGACCACGTGCTATTATTTCTATCTTATGTACATATACTATTATCAGGCGAATATATGTTTTTAGGCCAATCTCTCTTTATGCGAATTCAACAACAGTCGTTCAATGTTGGTGTACAAAATATGAACATTTATAAATTTGCTAAGCCGGTACATGAAATTTATTCGTATCTTTATTGTAAGACAGCCGCTGGTGGAAAACCTTTTTGTTTTTATCACCTTTTTCATTCTAACCGATTCGTACGACACACTCAATCACAAAAAAGTGATACAATAATATGACGTCATAAAAATGCATTGCGAATTGAATGATTGACGTAAGATAGTAATTATAATTATCATGGAAGTGTGACATGAATTTTATGTTTGTTCAATGTTATACCGTTTGGTGCATAATATAACCATGGAATAGTGATATTTTTACAATCACATCCGTAATTGTCATTTATTATGTTACCAAGGTTTTTTACCTTGTGTCAGTGTATAGAAATATTAGAACACTAAAATAGTGCATCTGTGTAGAATGTGTATTGTCTGTTATTTAAAACATAGCTGTTAGTAACACAAGAGTACTATATCCTTTCGGTTTTTTTTTAAATTATATTTCTTTCTTTTAAACTTATCTTGTATGTAAATAAAGATCATTTGTTAATTTATTATTTATATAATGCTAATTTAAAATGATATTTGTTCTTGTATTTGAGTTTTATTCCTTCAAAAATAGAAAAAGAGTACGAAGCGGGGTATAGAACTATCCGGAAATAATTTCTTTGATAGAGTACATACAAAATACTATATTAATATATATTTATCATGCCTATGAATTCAGTATTTATGTTGATAGTGTTGCTTTGTTTATGTTTCCAATCTGTTACGTTGATGTCTGAATTAAAATAATTTCTGATCCAATAGGATTGATATCATTACGCTCGGTTGTTGGTTTTATTTTATGTGTGTAATATGGTGTATGTAATATCAATTTAACAATACAGTAATAATGATAAGAAAATCATAATTATCATATGATTATAATAATTAGGCCTATGTAACAACAATAATAATGATAATAGTATATTGATAATAATGATGATATTGATTATAATCGTATTGAAAATCATTAATAAGAATAATAATTAAATTAACAAAAAAAATATTGCTTTGGAATTGTAATAAAATGCTAAATATTATTATAAAGTGGGAGAAAAACAGGGTTCACAAGCTTCGAGAAAATTAAACACTATGTTTATGAACAATTTGTTAATGAGAAAGACTGATTGATTTTAAGATGGTGTTATAGTTTTAAAAAACAATCAGCTGAAAAGTAAACTAAATAAACATTCAACTTAAGAATAGCTAAATTGAATATTAGTTAAAGTCGACTAATCTAACCTGTAACAGTATTTCTTACCCTTAACAGCAAGGGATATCCTGGTTTGATTGTGTCCATATTTTTATGACAGCCACACAGGAGTAACAAAGACGTTTTGAGGGTTGTTACACAGAGGTAAACCGAAGAGTCTGGATTTTGTACACTTCTAGCACTGTTAGCGACATGATGTCCCCAACCAATATTGAAAGAAATCATGTATTATATATTCTAATCCCATTCAGTGGGATATCTACTGTTCTCCAACAGGGCCCAGTACAAAAGCCAAAACTATAACATGTAAATACAATAAAACAATAAAATGTAGTGAAATTGTGAAAATTTAATTCTGGTTGATTGGTTTATGGTGGAAGAATTAGAGACGCTGATGTTAACCATTGAAAAATTGGTATTACAATGTCCAAAGGTTTAATTATTTGAATGTGCATCTTTCAATTATCATGGTAGTTCCTAGTCTTCTCAAAGCTTACATGTGGTGAAGACACCGTCATATTCATTAGGTGAGCTGCTTCAGTCAGTGATGTCGTATTCAGATTTATTGGCAGTATTTGATCAAGGTAAGTTGCTGGGAGTTGTAGTGTACATAGGCTGATCAGGGTAAAACTGAATAGGGTTTTACGTGTTGATTTTTCTCCAATTTGGCCCAGCTCTCTCCATGTTATTACTTTAATAACCGTTTATCGGTTGCTAATAATGTCATACTACTTGAGGTGTTCTAAAATTGGAAAATCATGTTGACCTAATGGTCAAAAAGGACTAATGGGAAATTCTTATGTTAAGAAAATTGTTAAATCCAGGTTTAGAGTTTAACACTGAACAGCATAATAACTGTTTTAAAAAAAACATTATATCAGCAGCTTCAAGTAAATCCTACGTTGCACTCAATAAAGTAAATGTATATAAAATTATATTTCTGTCTCATCAATAAGTTCTTTATTTCGGAATAACATGTTTATAAATAAAACAAAATGAAAACAGATAACCGATGAAAAATAAACAGTGCTGTATCGACCATAGTATATGAAACGATAGGAACAGGTCAAGTAACGTATAGCTGTGCAGTAGACAATATTCATATTTCAAAAATAAACGGCAAGAAATGTAACTTGACGCAAAATAGAATTACAGTAATCCTACGCGTAATCAGAAATTAATATAACCATCAACATTTGTAACATAGGATAAGCTCAACATATTTTTTTACAATACCGACCCGTGTTAACTGTCTACCTTTATATAACTCAATAATATAACGAAAAGAAGTCGTTTTATAACAGATACAAAAAAAAAGAAGTAAGAAAAGAAAAGTAAATAAATATAAATACATGTGCCTTCTATCAATTGCCAAAATGCCGGAAACCCGTTATGTGGCTCTCCTGACAGCAGCAGTAGAATTCAAAGAATAGTGACTGGAAAACAAATAGGTTTAGTGATATTTGCACTATAAACGTTTGTTTTTATTATTATTAATATTGAATAATAATTAATATTTATACTTTATTCATTTATTCTTGTGGTTCTAATGATTTTGTCACTAAATCTGGGTTGAGAACCTCAATGGATTTTCCGACGAGGAACAGACTACCAGTAACCAAAATTTGTATGTGGGCCGCGTTTTGTATCTGGACTGGTATCGATGGCCCGTCACCCAAAGGCCCACCTAACTCGGTGTCCTTTGAGCCAGCCACCCATCGTAAAGCCCTGGGTACACAGGTAAACACAGCATTATGTTCCCCCTTGCTGCTTGAATCACAACACGTCGATGTCATATGACAAGCGTGATTCATTGGCTGCCCTGCAAAGGCTACAAATCCTCGAACGTTACCGTTTCCGTTTTTATCATGATCGTGACATGGTGTCGACTTTTCGAGTTGAAGCTGTTCGTAGATTGCATTGTTTTCTATGCATACGGCCATTTTATGGCAGGTTGACTCTAAAAAAGGAAAACGTTAGAAAACAAATTTGGACACAGTTGGCTTAGTAGTGATGTGTTATACGAAATACTCAGTACGTTCCCAAATACTTGCGACAATATCGCAAGCGATTCAGGTGGGAATCGAACCCATGACCTCCAGGTAACTAGCCTGGTGTCATAACCACTAGAAAACCGAGCTTGCGCTTTAGCGAATAGTGTTGAATCCGATCCCCAAGTAGCAGCGAGTACTGCAAAGCTATTTCGATGTGTCTTTGCGTCAGAAGTTATGTTTTGCCCTACCTCATGTGTTGTACTGAATACTCAGAACGTTCCCAAATTCTTGCGAAAAAAAAGGACACAGTTGACTTAATATTTTGGCTATTTTAGGCTCGGTTGTTAATTGCAAAATGGTCGATCACAACGTTTATATACATGAAGGTTTGTTTACAAATAACATTTATTAAGATTTAATAAGGACATATTCTGAATTTTAACTGTGATGAACAAGTAACCAACGTTTATTATTTAATACAATTTACTTTCTTAGATTATTCGGTCTTATTGAATATGTCCCGATGCCAAAGTGAATGCTTTCACTATACTAAAGTTTATAACCACACCTTTAGGCCTACTCAACGGTGTTTTTTTTGGTGTTTAATAGTTAATATTATACTTCATATTGGACTCGCATACTATTCTTGTTGAAATGAAATACCATGAACGCTCTTACTCCTGTTATTGGTTGTTAAGATGTTGACTGACCGGTTGGCAGTTGGCGTTATTATGACCTGTACCTAACAATACCCACTTCATAACAGTAAGCACCATTTAAACAATAATTTAAAATTATTGCACGGTTACCTGAAGGACTAGTTGAGTCGGTTGCAACATTTGGAGAGAATGCGATGACGTCAAAATTACATTCCTATAGAAAGATAAAATGAAAGATATATATATATATATATATATATATATATATACCGTATTTAAATTACTAACTTACTTAATTTACTAAACTGCAAAAGTTGATTATATAGATTTGCATTATGGAAATTTTAACAGATTTTAACGTAGGACTATAATTGTTATAGCTAATTATTGAATAACTGAAACGACAAAATGTCGATAGTTTGAGTTCTCACCATCAACGGAGAAAGGAGAGCCTCTGCATTCCTTTGTCCCGTCGTGTTGAAAAGAAGTGCTCGTGCTACCGGGCCTTTCAAACCTTTCGCTTCTTTTTCAGCCGCTGCTAAGAACCAGTCTATGCATACGCGTATGCTTCGTGGAGTGTGCGCGCCATCAAGGTAGTAGGTAACACTTTGCCTCTTAAACGTTTGGGATCGACCTGGCCAAAAACAGTCACGCAAACCTTGCAAAGAAATAAGTGTAGGAATCAATATAATGAAACTCTAGCGAGATATTTTTTAAATATTAAACTGGAGTTTTTGCTATATTATTTTTTATTCAATATCATTCCAATTTAATTCAACATTTATTCGACATCAAAAATATTACGGAGTGGAAAGAGTAAAAAAGAAAATGGCTTGTCTGATATAATTAAAGATAATGGAATGAAAAGACATACTTGGTGAATAACCTACATTGGATTAGGCCTATCTACCGCAGTGTGATAAAATATGGTGTTTGTATTCGCTAATCGCAGAAATCGAGTATATCAGAGCACTACTTATTCCAAATATAAAGATCATGAACAGTGAGAAATGATTGGCATTCTGTTGGCCTTACAATGGCATTAAAAAAAATCAATAATTATTATTTTTAATCAGTACCTTGCAAGAAAACTTCGGGGACGACAAATGGAGGCACTCTTTTTATTTCCCATGTCTTGATTTTCACAAGTCGCTTGTCTGGCTTTTTACCAACTGTGATTGGGTTATCATTCTCAGGATCACCCCTCACATCTTAAAAAAAAAACCAAAACTAAACATGAAAGTTGATTGATATATTAGAAATAGCCCATAGATTTTAGATATAGTACCGGTACCTTTTTTTTTTTTTTTTTTTTAACAAAACAAGTGAAGTGTACAAGTAATCGTTCAATCATTGTTGTCACTCAAGATCGTTAGAACAATAATAATTAAATATTTAAAAAGTATAATCTATTTCAAAATTTTGAATACTGTAATTGAAACTGGTAGAAATATGAATGTTTACTCTATATTCAGGGCCGTATCCAGAATTGCCATTTGGGGGGTGTGGGTGCAAACATGAATTGAGGCTATTCTATTTCATAATGGTCACACCTCGATATGACAAACTTGTTATCGTCAGCGGTTGGTAAAGAAATGGACAATACTTGCTGATTTTCTTTATATTAGTCTAAATTGATATACCTGCTGATTATAATGGCCTGCACGCAAAAAAATCACAATGCCATATAAAATGACATGAATTTTTGTTGTGTAATTTACCTGTGAATTGAAATAATTCCGGATGGGTTTCTTCTAGCCAAGTTCTACACAGTTGCAGAGCTAGAGAAGCATTGATGCCTTGGTGCTCCCCCTTGAGACCCAACTTCACAGTTCTTCCTTGAAAATCATAATCGTCAATAGAAGGCACACATCGGACAGTCATCTATTCATGATAATTTTCAATTTTAAAAATCATTCAAATCAATTTAATAGAGTTAAAAGGTCAAACTAGGCAGAAAATTATATGTGATTATAAATGTTTGTCTTTGTGAACGGTAAATCCGAACGTGCAATTAATCAGAAAACATTGTTGGCGCTACTGGAAAAGCTGGCATGGGAACTCATCCGGAATTCTCTCACCATGTAAGTTCCCAGCAGGCCATGGTATTTGCTCATGTAATCTAAAATTGCCTTTTAAAGGGGTAAGACTATCTATCTAAGAAGACTGTACACTTCTAGACGCAGAATGTCAATAAAACAGAGCAGGTCCTGGAAGACGCGCATGTCCCAAAAACCCACGTGCCAGAAAACGCAAAAATTTATTACAACTTTCGCGAAAGTTGTGAACCTTGTGGTTAGGTTATATCAGTAAATAACTTTATATATTAACACAAGGTTCTAGTAACGTTTGAACAGTTACTTAGTTGGAAATTACGTTAAAATAACGTATTTATGGTTCAACAAAATACGTTTTGTTCACCAAACTGAAATGTTATTATAGCGTAACACGTAAGCTGTGGTGATGCGTTTTCGTTCGTTTCAGTGGCGTATTTAGGGAAGGGCGTGGGGGACGCAGGCCTCCCCCCAAATACTCTCGCCACCCACTCACCCCCCAAAATCACGGTCAAGTAATTAAAAATCACCTAAAATCACCATATTTTGCGAATTAGCGCCCCTCAACTGATCATCGAGCCCCCACCCCCTTCTCTGTCTCTTATACACATCTAGATGTGTATAAGAGACAGGCTATATACAGTAGGCTGCTAGCAAATAGGCCTAGGCCTAGATGATAGACTTTCAAAACAAAAAGATAATCGTAACGAAAAAAAAAAAAAAGAATCGTCCTCACTTTATCTTCTCGAAATAATACAGCACGTCACTGATTAATTAATTCCAAAGTTAGGTAAATATGATTATACAGTATATGATATTTACAATGATATGTTAAA